CTCCTCAAAAAAGAGAAGAAATCATGGGAAAATGGTTTGCTGCCGTCAAAATTTTAGCACGACGCCCAGTTACGGTAGGGCACTGGGTGCAGTGATTTTAGGGCACTAGGAAAAGTGATTTTTAACATTGAGTTAGGTGTTGTTAGTTTGAGCAAGTTTGGGCAAGGACGGCCCTAGTTGACAAGAGACCTTCCTGCACAATGGAGAGACCTGAGGAGTGGCACCTTCACCTTTTGGCTCAACTGTGGGTCGAGATGGAGCAGCGAACCGTCTATTCCGATGAGAACTAGTTTGTAACTTTATCTAGGGCTCTAGGTAAGCTTAATTTCGTTTTGAAATAGCCGACTCCCGGAGCACTTGTTTTTCGAGAGGCACGAGCAGAATGGTATATAAAATTAGTTTCTAAGCCACTGTAGGTGTAGGGATGAAACCTGAGGATATACTTCTCAACACAAAGGATGGCTTAACACATTAGCAATATCAGAATAAAAATGAACTTCACCTTGAAGATATCCTATTGAAAGAAAAGTACACACTTGGGACATCTTCTTTTAAAGTGAATGCGCAGGATTTCTACGGAGGAAGTAGTGATGTGTGTACTTTTATCTCAATAGGATACGGTCATTAAAAGTGACTGCGCAGGATTTCTAAGGAGGTAGTCGTGATAAAAAAAATGGGCAATATCTTCTTTGTTGCAGTTCATCAAGTTCTACAGATTAAAACAGGGGTTTTACTGAAAATATTAAATATAAGCAGTTGTAAACGCAAAAGTAATAAATTCAACTGTTTTAAAATTCCGAGAGTGATATGGTTTGCAGTTTGGGCTCAGAGATGCAATTTAATTTACACACAACAGTTGATTCTATTCAGTATGTTTATCTAGGATCGCTTGACCTCGACTGCTGCTGCCCATGGATATAGGACACGCGACTCGGTGCAACACTATGGTTCTGTGTGTTTCTCTCGCTGTCAAGATAAACAACTATTGCAATGCCTCGTTTACTCCATTTGCTTACTCCGAACGTCATCGTCTTCTTAGAGGTTGTCACTTACTTGCGCGGCACCCCTCTAGCAGTACGTATATAGCAGCAAGGGTTAAGCTAGAATGTCCCAGCAAGGGACAACGAAGAAGG